CTATCGATCAAGGCAGTGTGAAGGAACGCCGAGCACATATCTATCGATCAAGGCAGTGTGAAGGAACGCCGAGCACATATCTATCTATCGATCAAGGCAGTGTGAAGGAACGCCGAGCACACAGCAACAAGTGCTGCTGCTGCTGAGGGTCAGGCACTGGACCACTACCTGCAAATACTCGGTCACACAGGCCCTAGCTGCGGGCTGGAATGGACTAGTGGCAGTAGGGTTTGCATTTGATTGGGGTAACACAAGGAAGGAAGGAGAAGCTTCTCCCAAAGTTGCAGACTGGACTCGGTTTGCTGCTTATTCCGATCCTTTCAAAAGTGTAGGGAGCATACCCCAGGAGGCCAGGGGGCCCCTCTCTTCACCTTTCTTCTCACAGAATGTTCCTAGAAACGACAGTCACTCAGACTAGCCCCCCCCACCCCCCAATATCCACAGTCACCAAGACTGTAATACAGAGTGATTAACATAAGAATGGTTACAGGATCTTGCAATTTTTTGTCTGTTAAAAAACAATTTTGTAAATGCCAACCAATTAGGTTTTTTGCCTTTTATGTTCCCAGATTTTCCATACTTAAAACTCTGAACATTCCCTCTTGCCAGAATACTTTTGTGAATCCTCATGAAGTGCTGCCTTGATATACATGGTAGTGTTCCTTCCATGCAATTCTTTAATTTTAATAGAAACTCCAGTTTGGTATTTGACAGTAGACAGAGTAAAATGTGTCCACCAGAAAAAACCATAACCAATGTAGAAATTCATATTCTCTTGAAACTTGCTCGGACTAAAGCTAAGACTCGTTGTACCCGTTACAAATGGGCAAAAACAGGACGTGTAGCCCAATCACGCACTTCCTCCCCTACCCAATCTTCTTCGAAAGGACTGGCCTCTGTTTATATGACAAATGTCCATTACACCTTCTCCCAACTAGCTTCTCCAGAGGACCTTATGAAAAGGAAGTTAAGTTCTTGGTACCTCCTCTGGAGTGTCAGGCTTTCTTGCTGCAGCAATTTGGTTTATTCCTCAATGAAATCTATTAGAATTTCTAAACTTGACTCTAGAATCTGTCATTCAACAAATCGCACAACCTTTTAAATTACCTTTCATATTAATTGGAATTTATTTAAGAATAAGGATTGAGCAAAATCTCACGGCAAAGCAGTACTGTTAGCTAGACAAAACTGGGCAATGGGGGGAAAAGGTGGCAACGAAAGAGTAAGAGCTTGACAAAGGAAGGAATTCTACACAAAGAGAGGTGGAGGTGGAATCATACTTCCCCCAGTCCTCCCCAAGCACAAAGGAAGGTGAAGGGAACATTAATCAATGAAAGAGAAGCTGCTCCTAGGTAGCAAGATAGGGGTTGTCCCTCTCCATGCCTAGGGCCCCCTTCAGGAGGTTGGAAGCCCATAAAGCCTTAAGGGCATGCGCCCAACTCAGGTCCTTGAACTGGGTGGGCTCAATTCAGCTAATAGGGTCAATCAGTACCCTTGACCACACCTCCCAGCCACAGGCCCCAAAAGGCTGGAACCTGGAAGACCACCTCCCTCTCTTCCCCACTGCTCCTCTGCCTTCTGCTGGGCTGTGCTGCACTCTGTCTGTCTCTCTCAATCTGGCCTCAGGTTGGGGGGGTGCAGTCCTGTAACTGTAAAACCTGAAACTTCTATCCTGTATAAAAACCCACTTGGATCACAAACCAGGCGTTGGCGTGAGTTCCTTCTCGTGTGAAGCCAAGGACCGAGCCATTTCCCACCTGAGAAACCTAACAGATAGTAAAAAGGTGTGTGCTCTTGGGTCAGGCACCAGTCGGGAACACTAGGAACAGCCTGCCCTGCCCTTACCAGACCAAGACCGCTAGCCTCAAAGGGGCTCCAGGACAATGAGCCATCTCCTCGGTATCAGGCAGAATGATCAAGACACCACTCTACCTCGGAATGTCCCTGATGGAGCCGGCCCCCTCCCTGGTTACCCTCCTGACCACCTTAAAAACTCGCTCTTCACCACAGATAAGTGCGACTTCGAAGGCCCCCAGCTGGGGACCCGGTGAACCTCGCTGGGAGCTCAGGATGCTTCCATCCCTTTCTCTGCTCCCCCTCCCTCGCAGGCAGTGTGACCTCACTGGCCCCCACTCTCAGACTGGTGAATCGCCCGGGAGCGCAGAATAAACGTTTTCTCTCTGGCCTGGCCTCCAGTGCATCTTTGTGGCAAACCTAATATGGGCAGGGTGGGAACAGGATGTTCACACTACTCCCACAACGGCTGAACTGACTCTTGGATTCAGACTCTGGCGTGTTGGGGTACATGTACCTGGAAAGGGAGGAATGCTAAATCATCCAGTAGCAGTAGGTAGACCTGCTAGGAAACAAGCCAGCAATAGAAAATTCACCATCGCAGAATAAAAACCTAGTTCTTTTTCTGATTAGCTGGAGGCCCTTTAGTGCTTGCTCGGAGACACAGCAGCTCTTTAGAGACTCATCCTGTTCAAACCTTTTCTCTGAATCCGGTTTGAATGTTGTCCCTCGCCTGAGAACCAAGAATAGAGAGGCTCAAAACCGATTCTCATGGCAACAATATTTTAGTAGTGGTCTTCAGAAAAAGGCAGTCTTCACCTGTGTACTGCATATCGTGTTGAACGCGGCACATGCCACAAGAAGACAAAATGATTTTTGAACTGATCAAAGCAGGAGCTTGTGCCGAGGAGTCAAAGCCACTGACGAAGAGTTGCAACCTGGAATTTCTTACAGAATGCTAACATAAAAAATAGATCAAAGGTGAAAGAATCCTTTAAACAAAGTTGCTGGAATTTTTCAGAGAAACTTTTACCTAAAATAAAATGCCTTACCTATCAAGGTCAAGTAAGACAAGCAACTTGTTTTATCATTGTTTAAATTTTGTAAACAATCAATTCATATTCTTAACAGTTAATTTTCAAATTCATTTAAATAGGCTTCATTTTATGTACCACTAAGGAGTTAGAAAGAGCCACGCTGGATCAGTGGACTAAATGTGGACCACTGACTAAAAGGTTGGTGTTTCAAATTCACCAGATGGCTCGTGGAAGAACAAGGATGCAGACTGCTCCAGAGATTCACAGAAACCCTAGTTCTACTTTGTCCCATAGGAATGCCGAGTCAGGGTCGACTTGACGGCAGTGGGTGTGGTCTGAGCTAAAAGGGCTTACAAAATGAAATACAATACCTGATTTATTTTCTAGAAAACATAGCAGTCGAAACATTTTGTCTATTGGATTTTGTAAAAGTTTTCCAGCTACCAAAAAGTCTGCTCTTTCTTAACAAAACTTAAGTATCAAAACTACCTTCTAGAAATATGTCTCAACCAATTAAATTTCTAAACATCATGGGACTTTAATGATTTTGAACATAGGTGTTGTACAGGTCAGAACTTTCATCCTATGTCAGTACAAGAGTCATACTGCTTCACAAGAAATAAAGTCTTTTCACTTGTAAATATTACATTTTACGTAGCCAATATAGAACATATTTTTGCCAAGTAAGAAAATGGAAAATTAATTGCATCGATGCACATAATAGCAGCATGATTGACAAAAACATTCCCATTTGAAGCCAAAACATTTAGTAAATAACATCTCATCGCCCTTAGCTGAGCTCAGAATTATAATTGTATTAGCAAGTGTGTTTCTGGGCCAAGAAGCTTCTGAAGAATAAGGATACCCTTCTCTGTAGCTATTCTCTGATGTCCCTCACGACAGGAACCTCTGCGGAGACGGAAAAGAAAGCCCACAGAGTGGCCAAGAAGCAACATGACTATCCCTGTTTTACCACGTCTCAGCTTCCGATGCCACAAGCTGTAAACAACTCACAATGTCTTCATGCAAGGAAGGAAACTGTTTAAAAAGCAAACGGCCAACGCACGCTAAAGGGGAGAGGGAGGTGCTTTTGTTCCAGGTGGAAAAACGGATAAGGTTATTAAGATCTACAATTTTCCTCACAAGTTAGTATTTTCCTGTCCTTAGAAAAATCAGAGAGAAGTTAACTTTCAAAACCCAATACCTGAAACTCTGTAGATGCCTTCGCACTTCATGCCGTACTTTTCCACATAATCTAAACATTCTCGGAAAACTGCAGGCAGGCAAATGCCATCGTACATCATGGTCCTCTCTGCGGCGTCAGCCAAAGGAATTCCAAAAATGGGTCTGAGGTTTGGAAGATCAACTTGAGGCACCTCTGGCTCTGGAATCGTCTTTTTCTTCTTCTTCTTTTCCTTCCACTGTTTCACGACATCGGCTGCTGTCAGGTCTTTTGACTTCTTCTCCTTGTGCGGCTTCTCTTCTTTGGGCTTCTCCTTCATTTTAAAGTCCTTCTCTTTCTTCTTAGAGAAGCTCGGCTTCTTGAAAACATGAATCCCCTTGGACCTCTTCATTTTGGAAGGACTCTCAGCTTCATCCCCGGAGCTGTCTTCCTGAAAGGCGGCATAGCCTTCAGCTGCCAAAGAAACAGAGGGGGCACATTTCATGTCTGCCTCATCACACTGCCACATGCCTCCCAAAACAGAGCCATCTGGGACGACCACCCCGCTTTCACTTCACGCCCAATCACTCCGAGGCCCTCCTGGTAACGAAATGGCTACTTCATCCCTAGCATGAGACGCGGCAGTGAACAACTCCACATCACAGGAGGGCAATGTGCAGGCAGACTTGCAACAGTAGGTGGTGATGGTTGGTTTTGTTTTACACGTGTACGTAAAGGACTTTTGACAAACCAAGTAGTAGCAGTACACAGAAAGGGGTCTAAACCAAGGTCCTTCTATAAAACACAGCATCCCTTCGTAAGGTAAACAGTGTCCTCTGATAAATTACCGTATACACTCGTGGATAAGCTGGGTTTTTCAGCACATTTTTAATGCAATTTTTGTGGTAAAATTAGGTGCGTGGCTGACATTCGGGGCTGGCTTATACTCGAGTATATATGGTACCTTCAATTAACTTAGGGTTTTTTCATATTTAAAGCCTGAACTTGAAGTGATCCCCATCACCGATGCTCTGGCTGCTCCCTGATCACACTTCACATTCCTGTCACTAGCTGCTGAAGCAGCACCGGAAAAACTCACTCGTCTATGCCAGGAAATTTGGAAGACAGCTACTTGGTCAAATGACAGGAAGAGATCCATATTGGTGCCCATTGCAAAGAAACGTGATCCAACAGAATGCTCAAACTACAGAAGTATGCCATTGATATCATACACAAGTAAGATGTTTCTTAAGAACATCCAACAACGGTTGACGTAGTGTGTCAACAGGGAACTGCCAGAAGTTCTGGCCGGATTCTGAGGAGAACATGGAAAAGGGGATATCATTGTTTGATGTCATCAGATGTTCTTGGCTCCGAGCAGGGAATATCAGAAAGATGCTTCCTTGTGTTTCATTGGCTGAGCAAAGGCATAGTATGGACCATAACAAACTATGGATAATCTTGAGAGGAACGGGAAGTCCAGAACACTTCACTGTACTCATTTGGAACTCACACATTGATCAAGGGGCAGTTATGAGAACAGACTGAGGGAATACTGCATGGTTTCTGGCACCAAGGTTGTATCCTCTCACCATACTTGATCAATTTGTAAGCTTAGCAAATAAATCATTAGAGAAGCTTGATATGAAGAAAAGTGTGGCATCAAGGCTGGGGAAGGCTTATTAACCAGCTGTAGGATGCAAATGACACAACCTTGCTTACTGAAAGTGGGAGGAACTGAAGCACTTTCTGATAAAGATCAAGGATTGTATTCTTTGGTACGGATTACAACTCAATGTAACAAAAACCACAATCAATTCTCATGGAAGCAGCAGTCAAGAGATCAAAAGATGTATTAGGTAAATCTGCTGCACAAGACTCTATAGAGTAAGAGCAAGGATGTTACTCTGAGGTGGAAAGTGTGCCTGACCCAAGGCATGGTATTCTCCATTGCATCCTATGATGTGCAAGTTGGACACTGAATAAGGAAGACTGTAGAACAATCCATGCATTTGAATTGTGGTGCTGGAGAAGAATACTGACAAGTACATGGGCTGCTAGAAGGAAAACTTGGTCTGTATTGGAAGAAGTAAGGCCAGAGTGCTCCTCAGAGCAAGGATAGCAAGACATCATCTGACATACTTTGGAGGACATCATGTTTGGTAAAGGGGAAGGGCAGTGCGTCAAGATGAAGGACACAGTGGCTGCCATCGGTGGACTCAGGATTAGTAACAGTTGTTGGATCTTCATCAGTTCTGGTCCACTGTGTAGCACTGGCTGTTAGGGTCTGCCAGTGGGGTGGGCCTATCACCCAAAGGTGAGGAGGTGGGACTGCCTGAAGAACAGGGCTGGCCAAGGGGATCGGTCGGATTGTGACTGAGCTTGACTAGGAAAATGGGGCTATCCCAAACTGAGAGCAGAGTTACTGCCTCAGTGGGGCTAGAAAGAGAGCTGAAGACCAGGGTGGAGAAACATCTACCAGACTCCATAAAGCACCGCCAACACCCAGAGTCTGATGGGCAGGGCTAGAGGATCTCAGAGGACAGAGTATTATGTCCAAGCTAGTGTAAGTTGTCCTGACGCGTTTTGGACTTCTTCCTTCTTTTCCTCCAGTTTCTCCCCAAGCACATTAGAAATGCTTACTTTGTGTATGTTTACCACTGTCCTTTGGCAGTCAACAATTTCTATTGTGGATTTCAGAGGTTGACTGATAAAGAGGAATTTTGCTCCAAGATGAAACAGGCCTAAAGTTTCATCCGTAATTAATTCAGATGATACAGAAAATGGTATTTTGGACCTAATTTGAACTTAATGAATTGACTCCGATGTTCTAAGACATGGACCCCTATGAGCACCAACAGTTCCTAAAAGACATGTACAATCCACTCAAGAAAACAAGATTACCTAAGGGCAAAGATTATGAGTAACATTCTAACATCTACCTTTTATGCATTATTTTACTTGACTAAGAAATTTCTACTCGAAAACTCTTACTACTACTTCAACTTTAATATTTTAATTTGTGACACTAATGTCATAAAATGCAGTAAGATAAAATATTGGGACCCTCGAAAATAAATACTCCAGCTAAATATATTTTCAGAAGATAATAGGTACATGTGATTAGATTAGAAATTATTTTAAATATATCTAAAATATAGAGAAATATATACTTACTCCTTTTTTCCTTTTTCTTAAATTTTCCTTTTTTCTTTCCATGATCTTTCTCATCATCAGACACAATATCAGGTGGTTCATGAAGGTTGTCGTGGGGAGGTGAGGGCTCACCAGTCCTGTATAATCCAGGAAATTTGGTGGGGCTGATCTCTTCAGAGCTGGGGGTTCGAGTAAGACCACTGCCATGTTCCCCCCTTCGATGTTCATTGGGGCTGCTGGTAGGGGGCAGGAAGCACTCGGTCATTTTGACTCCCTGAAAAAAGGTGAAGTCTTCTCTGTTACCTATCCATTACACCTACAAGAAAGAAAAATGTCATCAAAAATCATCTAACAGCAACAACTAAACAAAGCCAAAATCAAATCACTGCCATTTGAGTCACAGTCCATTCTACCGCAAACAACCCTCTAGGGCAGAGTAGACTTGCCCTATTTGATTTCAAAGACTGTAAATCTTTATGGGAGCAGAAAGATTTATCTTCCTCCCATGGAGCAGCTGGGGGTTTTGAACCGCTGACCTTGAAGTTAATTATCAGCCCAAAACCCCACTACACCACCAGGCTCCTTAACACCAACAGCCAAAACATCACAAACACAACACAGCAATTAATCTTTACAAGAAAAATATCTTTCTTCCCATATTCCCACAATATTTTTATATCCTATTATCTCATGTTTCTTTGCATGCATCATATATTTCAGTTCTCAAAAAGTGTAAAGGTCTGAAATTTTCAAGTATCTTCAGGTATTAGACCTTAAAATATTACCGTTTCCCCGAAAGTAAGCCATCCTCCGAAAATAAGACCTGCTTACAGTTTTGCCTCTCGCTGAAATATAAGGCATCCCCCCGAAAATAAGCCCCCCCCCCCAACAAAAAAGCTACCATGACTCTGGACTCTGGACCATAGCAGCCACAGCGCAGCCGAAGCAGACAGGAAGTGCGAGGTCTCTTTTAATAAAGCAATAAACAATAAATGTGTACCGTATTCTTCTTCATGGAAAAATAAGACATCCCCTGAAAATAAGACCTAGCGCATCTTTGGGAGCAAAAATTAATATAAGACCCTGTCTTATTTTCGGGGAAACGGCAGAATCCTGAATTCTTCGTAAGAACTCACCATTGAAGAGGGCCTCATTTTTACTGCTACATCATAAACCCTTACTACCTTTCTGTAGCTGTCATCAAACTACTATGCTACATGAAGAATAACTGATAAAGACGATACATATAACTACGGAGGCCTGGTGGCCCACAGGTTACGCATTAGACTGCTAACCACAAGACTGCCAGCCGCTCTGTGAGAGAAAGAGGCTATCTGCTCCGGTAAACAATTTTAGCCTCAGAAACTCTCTATAAAAGTCATTATAATTTGGAATAAAAATTTACAATTAAAATGAAGTTTAATGATTCACAAAGTTGGAGACAATGAGGTATGACATGTGCAATCAGATTTTAACTTCATGGTATATTTTGTACAACTCAAAAACAAAGCTCATTGCCATAGTCAATGTTGACTCAAAGCATCCCTAGAGAGCGTGAGTTTTCAAGGTAATCATTCTTCATGGGAGTAGACAGCCCCATCTGGAAAGGCCAGTCTTTTTCCCACAGAACAGCTGGTGATTTCAAACTGAATCCTCAGCTCGCTCATTCTACAATATACAAAAAGTAGTTTCACTAAAATGGACACAACTAATGAACAGATATAAGACTTCAAGATAAAATTCATGATAAAAAAGTTTATATGACCATAAGCAAAGCCAAGAGGCACGAAAATGTGAAAAGAGGCTAATTTCTTTTTAAAACAGTTTTTACAAAGTCATGAAAATGTATAACAATCCTAAAGGAAAGCTCTGAACAAGCAATTGATAGAAAAATTAGTAATATATACATAAAAAGTTCAATGTTAGTCATAATTTTAAAATGAAAATATTAAGTTACCGTTGTTCTAGTACCAGGATGGCAAATAACAAATCGGTAAAATAGGTATATAATATCCAATATTGGTACAGACATGAGGAAACAGGGACTTGTAAATATTCATGAATGATGGAAATATAAATCAGCACCATCTTTTCATTTCTTTAAACTTTTACAAAGTTTATTAAATCCTACACTAAATCAACAATATCTCATTTTATAGAAATCATCCCATGGTGAACATGTCTAACCAATGTGGCAGTTACAAAATCTCATGTCAACTTGAGTGAAGGGGTGGAATCTAGCCTGCCAATTATTAGGTCACAGCCAATGGTGCCTCTGTGTGGGCATGGCCTTCTCCTAAGGATTCTGGGAAGTCCTGTTTTCCTCCCTGGAGGTGGGGCACACTCCCTCTCTGCTACACATTCATTGTTGACAAGCCACATGGAAACAGGCTGATGGAGCAAGAGCCCTGGAGCTGGAGAAGCCACATGGAGACACACGCCAGCGCCGAGATGCTTACAACACCACTGGATCCACAAGATTTCCCACCCACTGGCCTGTCATCTTCCTGCATTTGGCATCATTGCATGTGTTGCATGAGTCTGAAGGGGAATTTATAGACTGGTATCGGACATATGGGCTAATATCTGACTTAGGAACTTGATCTGAACTGGGCTGGGATGTTTTCTTAATATACAATTATTCTTTGTTATAAAGCTCTCTCTTACATACACACGAATGTCTCTGGATTTGTTTCTCTAGTCACCCTGAACTAACACAACCAGTAAAAGTAGATCTGACATCAAAGTGCTGATCTTCAGCAGACTGCAGAGCAAGAGAACACCTCCATAGAACACTACCGAGACAGGCAGACGCTTGCTCAGAGTTTTCATACAAGCCATGCTGGTTATCAAACTACATGTCTTAAGATTTAATATACTAGAGTCAGCAATTGTAGGTCCCATATCTTATTTTAATTATAAGTGCCTTACTGAAATAGCATTGACAGTTTCACTGACATTCTCAAGCTAGCATGATATATTGAAAAAATAAAAATTGAACATGAAAAGTCAGAGAAAAAAAATGGAAAGGGGAGAGGGGGTTGAGATTATTGTTGGGGTAGAAGAGTCTAACAAGTCTAGGCATTTGGTTGGAAGAGAATAGATGAACTACAGATTTTCCAAATGAAGTTCCTAAGTTTAATACAACAGATTCTTTTGAAATTCAAAGGTTTACAATCTGTGACTTTAGACAGTCCCAACTCTTTTGGATCAAAAAAGCCCACACAGTTGAGATTGTATTATTTGACTTTCTTTCATAGTAGGTGGTGGGCACAAGCAATCCTCCTTCATAAAGTTGACAATTAGATTCACTCAGAACATTTTTAATAATGCATATTTTCTTTAAAAAGTGCTCATTTTACAATTCAAATGTACTTGGGAAAACAACAGTTAAAAAATAAATAAAAGCCAATGTAAAAAAGACAGGTAAATACAAGGAACTATATGTGACCTCCTCCCTGGGGGGACGGACAACAGAAAAGTGGGTGAAGGGAGACGTCGGACAGGGCAAGATATGACAAAATAATAATTTATAAATTATCAAGGGCTCATGAGGGAAGGGGGAGCGGGGAGGGAGGGTAACAAATGAGGACCTGATGCCGGGGGGCTTAAGTGGAGAGCAAATGTTTTGGGAATGATGAGGGCAATGAATGTACAAATGTGCTTTACACAATTGATGTGTGTATGGATTGTGATGGGAGTTGTATGAGACCCTAATAAAACGATTAAAAAAAAAAGACAGGTAAAAACAACAAGAAAAGTACAGGTTGGATATGGCTTGGATTTCATAGTTTTCTTCCTGCGTTATCAACATGAGAAATCTGTTCCTTCAGCTGGCTCCATTGCTCAGGGTGTAAAGAAATACTTTTCTTCCTGGTTTCATTTCACTTTCTTGATCTATCCAATATTATCTAATATCAATTATGATTTTCCCTTTGAAGTCCTGAACACTGACATACCCCATTTTCCCAGTCTGGAACATATTATTTTCTCTGCTGCTGCTGCTCTGCTTAGAGGACGATAGGACTCTGGAAGTTTCCCCAGCCTTTTGCTTCTTTAGAGGTTTTTCTGAGCAACTTGCTTTTTCCCCTGCAGCTTTCGGTCAACTGCACTCAGAATCACTGCCAGAGAAGCTTGAAGACACCAGTTCTTCTGATCTAGTCACGGCTCTGGTCGTGCTGCCCCGCGGTCTCAATTGCTCACTTGAGTCTCAGCACAATCTTTTCTGATAAGAAATTGTATAATATCTATACACTTTTATTTAATTGGTTACATCTAAGATGTTTGAATACTTTACACCGGTATGCTCCCCAACACATTTGTGGATTTATTGCAGCAAAGTTAAACATACCTGTAAAAATAGTTGTCAGAATATATATATATATATTCTGACAACTGTTTGTATTTCCCACCCCCATATATATGTATTTCCCACCCCCATGGGGATACTTCCCACGTGTTCAGCATGCACATCTGTATGCCCAAACATCTACTCATAGATCACCACTATTAGAGGAGTGTGTGTATAACAGTATTTGCTCCCATATGATTGACAGCCTTGAAGATGCTAAGCAGGCTTGCTATGAGCTGGAATTCACCTGACGAGTCAGTTTGGTTTGGCTTCACTTAAATTAACACTTACCTACGATCCTCTACTTCCTTCCTCTCCTTTCCCTTCCCACCCCCCATAGAAATCAAACAGTGTTTCTATTCTTGTGAATGCTTTTAAGTGAATTCATCAATTTTGAAAATTACAGGGTTCCAAAGTTCAGAGAGAACGTAAGCCCAGCGGACAGAACACTTACAACGAGGGATCCTCAGCTCATTTGTGGAAACTGGGGTTTTCCCACAAGCTTTTTTAAGCCCTGCATACTTTATAGAAGGGAGAAAATGAGCTCCAAAAACCAAGGAAGCAGTTTAATAGCTGGGTGAATTTTTATCACACATCAATTACACCTCAGTAGAGCTTTGAAAAAAAAAAAGACTCATAAGCAATAGCAACACTTTTTCCCAGGAACCCTCCCTCACAGTCCACTACCACCCAGTGGGAGTCACCGAAAACCCTTTTCTGGGTCTCCAGATACTGAATTTGCCAAGCTGAATTTTAATTACCTCTGAACATGTGTGAATGGTCCGATAAATTGTGGCTCCGGTATTTACATAGTACATCCTAAGTGATGAAATGTTTAATAAATTAATCACTGTCAATATGTTCTCAAAAGGAGTCCAAGGGTGATGCAATTGATTAATACTCTCAGCTGCCAACCAAATGGCTGTTAGTTTGAGTCTGTCTACCCAGAGGCTCAAAAAAAGGCC